AAAAACTGAAAATAAAACTCTTAGTTAAGCAGTAGGGAGTGTCTAATAAAATGATGCCCCAACAATATATAAAATACAATTTGATCCAACATTTTTTTTTTCTGAATTACCACAGATCAACTCTGAAGTCCCCCAACTCAGCTTCCTCCATGGAAGACGTGCCTGTGGGATTGAGAAGGTCTGAGAATTATTACTTCCACCTCCTGACGACATCACTGGTTGAGGTCAACAGCATCACACTTCACTGTACAGTGTTAGTAAAGAGCTGTTTTCCCCTCAGCTGCCTGATGGTTTGCCAGAATCTCTTTGGAGCCAACCAAGAGTATCTATCCAAGGCCTCACCGAACTCCTCCCACATCCTAGTTTTTGCCTTAGCAATAGCCAAGGCTGCAGACTGCTTGGTCCTCCAGTACTCCTCAGCTGCCTCCGGAGTCCCACTGCCCAACAAGGACTGATAGGACTCCTTCTTCAGCTTGACAGCCTCCCTAACCCGAGATGTCCACCACTGAGTTTGAGGATGGCCACCGAGAGAAACACCAACAACATAGCGGCTACAGCTCCAGAGAGCCACTTCAACAATTGAGTCACGAAACATGGCCCACTTGAACTCAATGTCCCCTGCCTCAGCTGGGATGCAGTTAAAGCTCTCCCGGAGATATGAGTTAAAGATCTTTCTGATGAATTCTTCTGCCAGGCGTTCCCAGCAAAACCTCACTACACATTTTTGTCTATCAGGTCAGTCCGGCATCTTCCCTTGCCATTTGACCCAACTCACTACCAGGTGGTGATCAGTTGACAGCTCAGCTCCTTTCTTCACCTGAATGGGATTAACCTGTCTAAATAAAGGTTGAATAAATGTCTAAAACAAAGGGCCACAAATCAGATGACACGACTGAAAAGTCAATCTTGGATCTACAACCTAGGGCATCCTGGTTCCAAGTGCACTTATGGACACCCTTATATTCAAACATGGAGTTTGTAATGGACAAACTATGACTAGCATAGAAGTCTAACAACAAAACATCGCTCAAGTTCAGATCAGAGAGGCCGTTCCTCCCAATCACGTCCCTCCATGTCACACTGTTGTTACCCACGTGGGCAATGAAGTTGCAGAATTGTAGCTAAAATTTATATGCTACTTGTAGCTATAAGCTAAATGTAGCATAATGATTGCTAAAAGTAGTAGAAAAGTACAAAAAAGTTCAATCTGGTCCTCTGGACATTCAAAAAAACAAAACAAAAAAAAAAAAAAAAAGCAAAACAAAGCAAAAAAAATCTAGAAACGTTTCGTCTCTCATCCAAGAGACTTCCTCAGTCTGAGGTGCTGTTTTCAGCTCAGTCTCTTAAATAGCACCTTCTCAGAGTGGATCAACCAGTTTGCTGCTGACAACCAAAACCAGCTGATCACATGCTCAAGAAGGACCATCAGCCTAACGATGGATCATTAGCACACTGATGGCTGTTTACTATTCACAGAGGGCTGAGTGATACTAGCAATAACATCATTGTAAGAGGGGGACAATTGAACCCGGAGGCCTCCACCCCTGTTTAATGATGGACGATTTCTTTTCACAAAGATGGCCTCCTTTACTCCTCTCTCAAACCATCGTTCCTCTCTGTCCAGGATGTG